TTTTTCAACCTAGGTATAACAAAAAAAAGTACTTAATGAAACATTCAATTTTGAACTTATAATTTAATTACAATATTTGATATTAAATAAGAGATATTAAAAGCTATTAAATTATTGCTCGATTTTTGATATTTTATTGTATGTCCAAAACGAATAACCGTATAGACTCATGAAATGTTCACCGAATATTTATATTAGCATTTTCTATACGAACGGCCCGAAATTGTCGAGGAGTTTAACTCGCCGTTCCAATCCGGGCCTGAGAAGAGCCTTACCCACTTGTCCACCTTTTGTTTGTTTGTTATAACTTAAAGTCAGAAAACTTGTGATCTTCTGTTAACGTTTTTTAATTTCTAAAACTACATGGAACTATCAATTTTGACCTCTCAAAAGTGCCAATTATAAACTAGAGTCACTTTTCAATCAGAAAAGACTAAAGAGGCTCGCATCAAGGTGGATTAAAATATCATTAATTATCAATCCACCTTGGCAAGTGGATTATTTCCTATCATTATTCTAATAATGGTTTAGTTTGCAGGTGATTTACGGCAAGGTGGAGGACGTCACGCTGCCCTGTAAGGTGGATATTATTGTTTCTGAATGGATGGGCTTTTACATGTTACATGAGAGCATGTTGGACAGCGTTATCATGGAGCGTGACAAGTGTTTAAAACCAGACGGCCTGATGTTTCCGTCTCATTGACATTGTGCTCTCTATGCATCTCCATGTGCATTACCAGATCTCTATTCGGAGTGGGAAAATGTTTGTGGTGTTGAAATGAGATCATTCGCACAAGCCTTGCGTAGCTTGTACTTGAATAGACCAAAAATCATGATCATTGAAGTTGAGAATATGCTTTCTCATAATGTCAGTCCTATTGCAGAATTTAATCTTAAGAATTGTCAACCACAACAGCTTTATAAAATCACGGCACAACGATACATAACCATTGATGAGAAGAGTAGAATTTATCAAGGAGTAAGTTTTTGATTCGATGTACAGTTTCCAACTACTTATACCACTCTTAGCATTTTACCTTCATCGCTAATAACACATTGGAAACAAACCATGCATAACATACATAACCATTTTCCATCAGAAAAGATGCTGATCTCGAAAATTTGAGCATTTTTATTCTATATTATGTTGATGACAGACAGAAAAAAAAACACACATCATACAATACTTTCTTTGGCTCCTCTCAGAAACTAATATTTGTATTTAAATTATAAATATCAAAAAGGTTTAATAATCACCCATAGTTTGTGGTATCCTGTGAGAATCAATTAGTACCTACATAATTTGTGAAAATTTAACTTTCCCGCATAATATAATTTACATCATATTATGTCATATTCTCAGATAGTCATAATATAATTAATACTGTGATACAAATTTGGTTTTTTTGAACAATTATTGAGTGATTATAAAGTTTCTATAAACTATTTATATAGATACATAATTAGAATCAAAATTAAGAAAAAATTAATACTAAATGCAAATAAATAATATGTCTTTTTACACAACATGTCACCATAATATGAATTAGGAATACTACACTTTTACTTACCTAAGTAGGTATATAATATATAAATTGAAGTGATAAATATGAATATTAATTAATTATTAATTCATGACAAAGTATATTTTATTATATCAATGAGAATTAACAGGTTAGCATATCTGATTTAACCCTCTATTTATTTTTGTTTAAAAATATAGTATGTCTGAATTGGCCCAATTTGTCTGATTCGTTTTTTCTAGACGTACAGTTAATAGTTTCGATTTATTCTTGATTGTAACTTGTAAGCTATTTTAAATCCATTGAAATAATTAAAAATTAGGAGTCTATTAATTGCATATTATGCAATGCACATATAACATATTATAAATAACTTATATTTTTAATGATTTAAAAAGAAAAAACATGTTGATATAAAGGTTATAAATGGTTTAAAATAATAAGGCTTTGTTATTCATATATACCCCTCATTATTGTAGTTTATATACTTATAGTTAAAATACTATTGTTCATCAAATAGACTTTTTTTATAATTTTGTATAAAGCATTATTATTAATAAATATTTTAAAGAATACAAATTTATACTATTTGATTAATTGTTATTATTGTTACTAACTAATTTATTTGTTTTTTAGGAAGATTTTAAATGGGAATATGAAGAATAAATAAGCAAAAAAAACATACTTTAGTTATGGATGAGCATTCAGCAGCAAATAATATAAAAAAAAAATATTCATCTATGGAACAGATTAAATGGTATTTAAAAACAGAAAAAAATATTTTTATTCTCTAAAATTGTCGTAGGCAGTATTTGGACAAAAATATTAAAAACAAAGTCTGTATCAGTTATTTTTTTTATAAAAGTTTAGGTTAAAATTAGTATATTTATTAAGTACAAAAATTATTTTGTCTTAAATTAACAGTCAATCGTAATTTGCACATTGTCATTATATATAATTAAACTATCATATCATTTATGATATGCCCTCATTTTGGTCATCAATATTTGAATCCTCATCGTCTGAAATATTTTTTGTAACGGATAAAAATGTTTTAATAATTTTACATTTTGTTTGATTGCAATCACATGGATTTGGATGTGGCTCGTGTTGAGAGTCCAGCATTTCCAGATTAATACTGTAATGTCTTGAATTTGGACTGTTTCGTTGGAATTGTACATTGAACATTACAGCGTCTCCTTCTTCTACTTCTATTTGTGTTGGCAGAACTATGATGGTTTGTTTCCAATGTGTTATTGGCGATGAAGGCGAAGTGCTAAGAGTGGTATCAGTAGTTGGAAACTGTACATCAAACCAAAAACATACTCCTTGATAAATTCCACTCTTCTCAACAATAGTTATGTATCGTTGTGCCGTGATTTTATCAAGCTGTTGTGGTTGACAATTCTTAAGATTAAATTCTGCAATAGGACTGACATTATGAGAAAGCATATTCTCAACTTCAATGCTCATGATTTTTGGTCTATTCAAGTACAAGCTACGCAAGGCTTGTGCGAATGATCTCATTTTAACACCACAAACATTGTCCCACTCTGAATAGAGATCTGGTAATGCACATGGAGATGCATAGAGAGTACAGTGAGATGGAAACATCAGGCCGTCTGGTTTTAAACACTTGTCACGCGCCTTGATAACGCTGTCCAACATGCTCTCATGTAACATGTAAAAGCCCATCCATTCAGAAACAATAATATCCACCTTACAGGGCAGCGTGACGTCCTCCACTTTGCCGTAAACTACCTGTAAACAAAAGCATTATTAGAACATTGATATGATATAATGCACTTGCCAAGGTTTATCGATAATTGATATCAATCTACCTTGACGCGAGCCTCTTTGGTCATTATTAGGGCAGAGGACTTGTAGCGTTTGCATATTTGTTTTCCACAATCACAAAAAATAGTAGAGTAAAAAATGACTTACATTTTATGCATAGGCGCACAGCGAATGCTGTTTTCGCTGCACCTGACAATTTATTTTAGATTTAGTGGGCTGGTAGATATTTAATTTAAAGGTATACCTATACATAGAATGAATAATTTTTAAAACATATGAGTTTATTATTAAATTAAAATATAAATGCTCAATGTTATTCAAATGAAAAATGATAATACTATTTTATCAATACACCAAAAATATACACCAAAAGGTACAAACTCAGGTTCTGTACACAAATAGCTCGATTGGTTAAAACAGTATTAAACATTTTTTCATTGTCTTAAAATGTTCGTGACAATTCCAGTGACTATAGTTGTAGCTGTGAACGTATAGTTTTTCAAAACTCAGCATTTTAAAAAACAAATTAAAAAACACTATGTCACAAAAAAGATTGGATGAGCTTCTTTTTTGTTGGTTGAACAAGAACTTTTAATTGGTATTGACTTTAATGATGTAATTGATGAGTTTAAACATTTGCTTCCTAATAATCGCTGACTTATATTGTAAGTTTATTTATTTATTTTTATTTTACCAACCTAACTCTTAAGAGTTCCAATATTATGACTAATGTATAAATACTTATTATTAATTAGGTACTATATGCTTATAAGTGTTATATTATTACCTATGTGATGTTTAATATAATTATAAAAGTATAGAGTAATATGTTATAATACATACAAATATTATTACTTTTTATTTACAATTTACTATACATATTTCTTATAACCATTATAGGCATAGTCGTAGAGTGATGAATTTATATGGTGGGAGGGGATTATACCCTACAATAATGATTCAAGTACACTAGTGATTATATGAAGGTATAAAATATTACATTTTTACACACTAAGGCTAAACAGAATTCAGAGGGGGGGGGGGGGCTATGTAAAGAAAATAAGTGGTCTGCTTATTGTTCTATTCTGTCTGCGATTTATTTTATTTTTGTAGTTATTCAATAAGTAGAGTAAGGTTCCCTATCTCTCATATACTTTATTTAAAGTTGTATTAATGTAAGTTATTATATTGTATTTTTATTTTTATTTGTATAAACATTTTAATTGTTCACTGTTATCAGTTAAACTTATAACTATATTTAATATTTTGTAAACTCTTCTTGTACTTCATCTATGTGATAAATAATAATATGAAATCACTAATCACTAAACTAATGTTCAGCATATTATGTTTGTTATACTACAACACTACTGCAATATTACTATTGTAAATGGATTTATTCTGTAAATAAATAAATAAAAGTTTCATTAAGACTAAAAGTTTGTTTAATTCATATGGCCATAGCATAACATATTATATTAAATTTGAGGTACTTGTTCTTATTTAGGTATTTTTAAATTAATCGCTAGAAATACTTTTTATGTGCAGAAGTGGTTACATTATTTAGTACTTTTTAGAGCTACAAGTCCTTTGCCCAAACCATTATTATTAATTATCATTATTTAATGTATGTAGTAAGTACACACTTTCGATATGGTCTGAAACAATGGTTCTCGGCGACTAGCTGTCGGGCCATCCTTCAGCCGTCTTGCTGGCTTCGACTGCGAAGACTTTAGTAGCTCCAGCCTGAGCGCAGAATATGGACAGAATTCCGGTGCCTGCTCCCACATCCAACACGATTTTACCCTCGAACACTGAGCGGCTTGATAGGATAGCATTTTTGTACGCCTCTGTCCTAGCCGTGTCCTGTATCATTAATTTGTGAACCTGAAATGTGAACAATTTTCATTGAGAAAGTGAGAACACTCTAAAATCAGCAAGGGCCAAAGGACGACGTCAGTAGAGATTTTAATTTACCTCCAGATCACCATAGCTGGAAAAGTAGTTGTCCACGTCCATATCAGTCAATTCAGTCATTATGGAATATCGTTGTTTGAACTTTGAAAATCTGCGCGCGTGATATTAATATTTATAACCTGCAAAATTTGGTAAGTAGGTTAAGGTAAATCAGGTAATCTTATCTCAGCAGCTGTCTGTGTGGCGCTATCAGAAACCACACTATAATCACTAAATGCTATCAGACCCAGATTTACAACGGAGTAGTATCAATTATCATATACCTTCTGACCTTTTACTGAGTCTATGCGGAGTATATCTTCGACAGTTCGACTGCCAGAATTTTAGTATTGAGAATTTTATTTTATTTATTTTACGCCACCAGTTTGTGTCAAAACATAAAAAATAAAAAGTCAACTAATAATATGGCTTTTAATTTACTGAAGCAATCCGCAAATACAGTGATCAGAAATGCGGTTGTGCCGTCGACAACGTCGTAAGTAGTACCTATCTCCTGATTGAAATAAATATTTGAGTATTTGACATTTTGTGCTACCTAGTACCAATCAAATTTTACATGAAATCATGCAAATTGTACAGGGTTTCAAGAGGACTGTTCACTGGTGCTGTCCAATTAGCTAAAGAAGACAAAGGATTAGAACAAGTTTACACCAAAAAAGAGTCACTCTTGTTGGACACTAATAATGTCATTGGAAAGACGTCTAACACGAGTGTTCAGAATTATATTGAGGTCGATAACAAAGTATGTAACTCAAAGTTATACTAAAACTGGTAGAATTTTACCAGAAACTGGTGGTAATTTTTTATAATAAAATATGTATAGTTTATTATCGAAATTGCTGTTATCCATTATGTTGACATAATAATTGAGTTTTTGTATGCATATTAGATCTCAACAAAAATATTATCTTAAGCTGATATTACACTGGTTTGCCATCGATCAATTGACAATTAATTTCCTTTGATGTTTATCTGGTTTATCAACATTTTGTGGATCTAAAAAAACCAGTGTAATAGTGGTTATAGAAACTAAATGTAGAGCCCCTCCAAGCCAAAAAACTGAAATTGCACCGATAGTGATGAGTTTGATAATGAGTTAGGCTAACTAATACCAAATATTACTATATAGTATGTATTTTCTACTTACCTAACCATCTTAAGCTTTTGTTGAGTTAATATTTTTTTTATGATTACTCACTGAATATTTATATATTAATATAAAAGTCAAAATGCTGGTTATTAGATTACATTGTTGGTTAAAATATAATATTTGAGTGAATATTCCATAATATAATTAAGATAAAATATATATACAATATACATAATATTATAATGTAATATTATTAGCTTAAATGTTGGTAGCATATAAACGAAATAATAAATATTGGTACTTTCCAGTCATACAAAACTACCTTGTTTAGTATTATATTCTAAAATGTAAATTTATCAACTCCTAAATGAAAAAAGTAGTAGAGAAAGATAAGTTTTATCTAATGTTAGTTGAATAATTACAAACCTATATTTTTATGTATAATAGATAATTTATTTTATTTTATACCTACATGTATAATTTAAGTTTAATGTTTGTATATTATAAAATTGTTTAAGTATAGTATAAAAAAGTAGGTATATTAATTATGTACTTACTCAGTTACTCAGGACATCTGTGCTGCTTCACCTTCTACTAAGTACTAACTACTAAGTTGACAATACTATGTAATAATAATGACTAGAGCATAATAATTTTTGGAAAGACCAGGAACGGGTCTGCTAATCTTTATTATCTTAATAAGATTTTTCTAGACAACAAACCACATATATATTAGCCTAAATCATAGGGGCGCTAACAGTCTTGTGATCCTTTTAAATTAATTTATATAATACTAACTTATGTCTTTTATATTAGTAACTATATTTTTATGCATTTCCCTTATGTAATATAATATATTATGATAAAGATTACATTTACAATTTGCTAGTTAAATCAGAAAGATATCCAACATGATATATCAATAGTTTAAAAATGACAGGTTTTTTGGGAATTCAATATATTTTTGTTTATTATTACATGAATTAAATGCACATGTCTATATTAATAATTATTATAATTGGGTGTTTTGTATTTAATTATAATGTTTAAAATTATTAACCTATTAGTTTTGGGTACCTTACAAATGCACACCGACAAGTTTTTATAAAATGTACATTTATCTATATAGTCTATAATAAATAATATAATGCCTGTAAACTAATTAATTCAACTATCAATCGAATAATTTTAAACAGAATATTACTATAATATGAGTCATAATATGTTGTGTTTTCTATTACTATAATCCCATAAAAAAATCATAATAAATAATTTATTTGGAAAATTTCATATTATGTCAATTCTTAGTTCATATGTATTTCATTATTTCATAACTTAAATGTAGGTACTCATCAACAATCATTAACTAAAATAAAATAATAATTTCAATAATAATCATAATAAATTTTATAAAAAAATGTAAATGTAAATATTATAATCATGTAGGATAATTTCGGCATATATTAATCATAATAATTTTAATAAAGTTGTCATAAAAATATGTTATACTACAAATTAAAATTAAAATTAAATAATTACATCCATAAAATATGATTATCAACCATTTAATACATAATAGATGTTGATCATTTTTATTTTTATTTTATGCTATATCCAACTTGCAAGTTAGGTAGGTATTGCATTTACTTATGGCTTAATTTTAATTTCTTACCGACGCAAGTTGTATGCATCCATTAAAAATATTTATCCTCTCTTTTTGTCTGTTCAATATATTTGTTCAAAAAAATCTTGAACATCTGTAATTTTAAGAATTTAATCAAACATGAAATAATATAATACACCTAAGATAAAGTAGATATATTATATTATATTATATAGTATATTAGTATCATATTCTAATTATGTTTAATAATTTAAAAAATACAGGTATTTACTTAATCCTTTCACTGCGCCAGACGTACTATTACGTCACTGTATTTTATAATATTCTCATTTGCCGGTAACCGTTCAAGTTTAGGGAACCTTGGCTGGCATTATTTTAAACTTAAATTATTAGATCATATAGATCTCAAAATTAAAAAAAAGTATATTTTTTTTATTTTACGTAGCATACACAGGTAACAGTGTATAAATAGTGTAGCAGTGAAGGAGTTAATATTTATTTTTATAGTTCATCAGTTTTGTAGTAAAGTATAATTTTTATTTCAAATTAGGTAACAGTCTAATTTAGTGATAAATTAACCTAACTGATAATAGTCAGTACCTAACCTATTTGCAAAATATAACAAATTTTAGATTCTAAACTAAACATTCAACATCCATGCACTGTGTCACATACTCACGTTTGTAATTTTTTGAACTTTCTGATTATTCAGGTTGATTTGAGTTCTGTTACCGGTGTACCCGAAGAACATGTCAAAACTCGTTTGGTGAAAATCAGTAAAGCTACCAAAAATGTTATGCAATCCGGTACTGACAACACTCACAATTGGGTGATGGAATTTGACAACAGAGAGCGTTGGGAAAATCCATTAATGGGTTGGACATCATCGTATGTACATAATATCTTTTGTTTAATATTATAAGTACACAGACATAATAATTACTATTTTTAGTGGTGATCCGTTGTCAAACATGAAAATTGAGTTTGTTGAACGAACCGATGCCATTAATTTTTGCGAGAAAAATGGATGGAAATGGTACTTAGAAGCAGAGAACAAGACCAGGCCCATAAGATCAAAGTCTTATGCAAATAACTTTTCATGGAACAAACGTACAAGAACTTCTACCAAGTAAACATACACAATACTTGTGAAATAATAGTTAAAGCAATGCCTGTAAAAAAAAATATATTTAATTTTCAATGTAAAACTATTACTATAGTGTAAATTAGACACCGTTTTTAATAGGGTAATAAAATATAATACTCATTTGTTGAAATTTGTGTCAATTTTTTTTTTTATTTTAACAAAAAAATCAATATTATACAAAATGTCAAAACGTAATATATCAAACTTAACTGTCTAACAGTTGTAAATATTGAAAATACAAGAACAAATATATGACAAAAGGATGTTTATAATAATAATAATAATAATAATAATAATAATAACCATAATAATAGTTGTTTGATTGAAAAAGTCATTCCAAAAGTACAACGTCAAAGATCTTGATAGTACTATTATCGTAAAACACGTGAACATAATGTTATTTTATAATATGTATTAATTAGTAATTGTATTTGTACATACGTCAAACTAAATAAATATAATATTATCTTGAACGACTACCTCAGACCATAAGCTAGAGTGCAGTTATAATAAGTTTGTAAATGTAAAAACTAAACTAAGAATAAAAAAAAAGGTTTCTTAAAAAAAACCTACTTAGGTATTTAATAATATTGCTATGCATACTTTGGTTCTCACAATAGAGATGAGACAACATTTTTTTCAAAAGTTAGGTAATATATTGTACTTACACCGTTTCTACAATTACAATTTGTGTGTATAGTAACATAAATAAAATTAATTCATACTTGTTAAGTATTTAAATACAATATTTTTTGTATTTAATTTCAACTACTTTTAGAATAAAATAATTTAAATCCATATTTTTATATTTTGTATTTATTTTATTAATATTAAATACAAACAAATAATATGTAAAATATTAAGCCCACAAAGTTTTAATACATTTCACATAAAGTAATCCTGTATTTAGGTAGGTACCCACAAAACCTACAAAGATAATGACACTAATGATAATTTTATAATTCAAGTATTTAAATTTAAACACCTATTTGAAATAATTTTAACAAGTATGTTAATTATTATATTTATTATTATTATTATTATGACAGTAAAAGTATCACGTTGAAATGATTGAAAAAATAGAACCTATGTAACTAAAATCGAGGCACAGTGGTAAGGTCTAGGCACTATGTCTGTAAATGTGTAATATTATGTACAATATTTAGGTAGTATAATATTAGTAATAGTATATTATATTATTATTATTATACAATTAATAATCTACATGGTTAGGTTATTAATAATAATTCTAACAAGTTACACACTATGAAGCTCTTCTATTTAGTTGAAAGTAGTTGACGACCAAAAAGTAAATATAATATCATATTGTTCGTCGACCCTTTTTTGAAAAAAAAAATTCATATAACTCATAAACAGTAAACGTATAAATAATAGTAATAATAATAATAATAATAATAATAATAATAACAACGCGTAGGTACGATTGTATGAACTTTCGTTGTGTCTGTGTGGTGGGTGGTGTTTGGTGAAGAGGGGTCTGGGGTGGTCATATGGGTATGGCGATATTATTATTATATTTATTTTACATAATAATATATTATAAAACGTTGACATCTACAAAAATGATAAATCTGTTAGTGGGGGAGGGTACATGTACGTTTATTATTATTGTTATTATTATTTTTGTTTTATTATTATTGCATATTATGCCGATTACTTTTATGAATGCTATAAATATCGTACCTACATTGTCAGTAGTTGAATAAGTCGAGTTGCGTACTTGCATCTCTATACGATAATGTTTTGTTGGCATTGTATTAGGTACTCTAATATTAACAAATCAATAAATAATATAAAATAAGGTATGACAAAATCAAATAGGCATCTGTTTTCAAACGACCGTAATAGACTTAAAAAAAAATGATCGATCACCAAGTCCGACAATAGTACGTTTTCACAGTGGTATTACATAATAATTGGTAATATTTACAATTATTATAATTATTATTACAATGTATTATATTATAAATTACGATGATGGATTACAATATTAAAATATTATATACTGACTGTGTTATTTGTGCTATGTGGTGGGCCTGCCGCCGGTTCTATGTCATGTATCAAAGTCTTTTAGATTTATGTTTACCAAAAAATTCCGTAATATTATACAATTATTATTACAATTACACCTATATACTATATACAGGTATATAATATTATTATACACTATGTGTATATTATGCTAACCGATATGTTAATTTAGAATATCTCATTGCAGGAGATTAAAAAATAGTCTATACGAAATGGAATATAAAAAGAAAGAAATAAGTCGACCAAAGTTTCAGCGAACTTTCAGAACGAAATTCCCTCGAAAACTATCGAGTGCTCACACATTATAATAGCCAATTAATAGGTACCTATTATAATATATTATACTATGTATCTATGTTTTTGTTACACAAATCACATTACGAATATTATTGCGATCAATACTAATATGACAATGGGCATTATGCGTGTTCGTTATTTTATCGACGTATCGCCTTCGCTATTGCTAATTTTCGATTCAATTCGTACACTGATTATTCAATAATAATTATTGTTAAGTATTCAATTGTTTTTATTTTTTATTTTTTCGATTTTTTCGGATTTTTCGATTTTATTATTTTTTTTTCTCGACGCGTTCGTCGAATCTTCTTATTCTATAAATCATTATTTCCCGTAGGTCATTATTAAAAATTTAAAAAAAAAAAACAAAAACCTTAAAATTACAACGCAGGCATAAGGTCTTCAATATTAATGATTATAATATTAATACAATTATAATATATGATTAGATCTTATATTATGTTAATGTTGGTAATAATAAATTGTATGCGTTTCAATAATGCGCATAATGTAACATAATAATATTATTGTTATGAATAGGTACTTTCATGCTCGGCTAATTTACCTAATATTTACACACATTAAATACTCTAAGTTATTGTCTGTTCGTAAAACATCGGTAAAAACTCTATTAGTCGCAACTTCTGCACCGACAGGGCCACCCCCGCCACCACTTGCACCGCTCCAGTTAAAAGATATGCGCTCGACGGGAATTTTTTTTCGACGATTATTTCATTTTTTCCTACGTTTTGGGGTTCGCCACCGAGATTATGATATAATAACGATATAGATCGATCATAATATTATTATCTTGTTATATCGCCAAACCCTCATCGTGGTACCTGTATGTACCTATAATAATTACAGCAACAATTTATAGTATTACAACAAACTAACAGCCAAATGTCGGCCACCTACGATAGCGAAAAAGGCAAAGGTAACCACAAACATAGGTATTTTAATATATTATACGTATACTTCCTGTAGCACAGACCTTATAGGTACTATTAGTACTATGGTAGCAGGGTATCTATGCTCGATTAATATCATAAAAACGATTACGAAAATAAATAATATTATTAATGGGAACGCGTTGATTTACAGGCTCGTTTATTAATCTTATATAATGCAACACATGTTATAATAATTGCCCGAAACATTGTTCAATAAAAATAAACTTTATCCGAATCCCTCGATAATCGTACACGTTGCCGTTATACTTGAAAATATACCCACCTGTACGATTTAAATTATTTTATTAGGAAGGTAAATCATATTATAATAGTATTATTATTTTATCAAGCAGTCTAAACACGCAAACTCACACATAGCCGTCTTAAGCCTTTTGGTGTCATTGAGTCAAGGCATATTATGAAGATTTGCAAGCGTCCATCTCCACCCCCTCCAAATGGGTATGAGGGTAAGTCCCCAAATCAGATAGAATTGCTCTACGTACAACACATTTAAACACAATATATTCTCCATATTATAGTGCATAATATAATAATAAAAATAATAAACGCCATTATTGCAAATTTTTTTTTTTTTTTTTTTTTTTTTTTTTTTTTTTTATTTTTAACAAGATATATACAATCTGTACCCTTAGGCACAATAAGAATATGTGATAAAATATTTTGTACATGAAAACGTGAGGGAAGAAGCCAACCAGTGAAGGCACTACCTATAATGTTTATTTATATATATATATATTTTTTTTTTTTTAAATTATTTGGATTATTCATTTAGTAAATCACGACACCAATTTCTTTTTAGTCGTCGAGTGGGGTTGCCTGGAATTGTGCGAGAAGCTAAATTGGATATAAGGGGATTAGGATGGTATGGAAGTCTGTTATGGAATCTTTTGTAATATGTTATTGCTTCAGCGTGAACTGTTTTTATGTTTAGATCTGTGTGCAGAGAGTAGTTGGAGACATATGGTGGGGCATTAGTGATTAATCTTAAAATTTTATTTTGAACGGTTTGGATTTTATTTACATTAGTTATTTTTGCACTGCCCCATAGTTGTAGACCATAAGTCCACATGGGCTTGATTAATGATTTATATATAAGAAGTTTGGTGTTTAGTTTAGTGTGCTTGTTAGATATTAGTGGTTTAACTGAGCGTAGTCGTTCGTTTAGGGCGAGTTTTTTAGTTTTGATATGAGGTCCCCAGGTCAGGCGACGGTCAAAGGTTAGGCCTAAGTACTTAACCGATTGGGATGATGGGATTGGTATGTTGTTAAGAAAGACTCCTGGGCAGGGAGGGAGACGAAGAGTGAATGTAGTATGAATGGATTTAGATTGGTTGACTTGTACTCGCCATTTATCATACCAGACAGACATTAGGTCAAGGTGGTTTTGAAGGTTTAAAGAAGCAATGTGAGGGTCTTCATGTACTGATATAATTGCCTTATCATCAGCAAATTCAGCTACAGTTGTTGTTGGAGAGGTAGGTTGGTCTGCTGCATATACATTGTATAGTATAGGTGAAAGAATGCCACCTTGAGGGACTCCTGCGCTAATTTTTTCAATATTTGAAAAGGAAGAGCCAAACTTGACTTGGAAGTGGCGATCCGTGAGGTAAGATTTAATAAGTAAGTAATATGTTGTGGGAAGAAAAGCTTTTAGCTTAAATAG